GAGTTCTATGCTACATTGCTCTTGTTTCTGTTTTTCCAAGGCCTTTGATCTCTCTCTGGGACAGCAATGAGCCCCTGTCAGCCCCAGCAGTTTGCTTGCATTGCTGACCACAGAATAAGAAACATGTTTACAATCCTCAATCAGGCTGGTGCTTTGCCCTGGCCTGGACCCTCTGTGCTTGCTGAAGTTCTGCTGTGGTGGTCCCAGCTCTCTTCTCACTGGTTTTCTTTCTCCTTGACAGGAACTGTGGGAATGTGTTCTGTGCTACCTGCTGCCATCTGAAGCTGCCCATCCCTGATCAGCAGTTGTATGACCCTGTCCTCGTTTGTAACTCCTGTTATGACCATATCCAAGTGTCTCGTGCCAGGGAGCTCATGAGCCAACATATGAAGAAACCCATTGCCACAGCTTCCAGCTGAATGCCAGACAAGGGACCTGTCTAAGCCCAGCCTTTTCTCTTGTGGGTTTGAAGGGTGACTCTGCCTCCAGGGTAACTGTGAAGGCCTTTGGCACAACACTCGAGCACCAAGCTGGAATGCACTGTCTGCAGCAGCCTCACCGGCGGGCTGGAGCAGAGGGCTCAGATCAGAGTTTGCTGTGTCCCCACCCTGGAGCCAGTGGGCCCGTGTGTTGTAGCCCTGATGGCCTAGGGCTGAGAGAGAATCACAGCCTCTTCCTTTTGTGAGCTGGAAAGCAACGTTTTGACAGCTCTTGCCTGTGCAAAGTCCCCCCAGAGCAATAGAAAGGGATGTTTAGAACCACCTCCCCCTCCACAGGCAGCCTGCTGTGTGAGCAGGAACAGGGCAAGCTCCCGATGGCCCCGCGGGCATTGGAAGGGCCTCAGCCTGGAGCAGATCTGTAGATTCTCTTTCCATGAGTGTGATTTGCGATCAGCTTGGTGAACAAGACTCATTAGCCATCACTAATTGATTTTCTCTCGGGCTCTGAAGAGAAACTCATTCCAGCTGAAAAGGGCCGAGCAGATCGTGTCCGTTTTCAGGCTCCGCTGGGATCGGTGTCGCACTGGACTTCATCCCTGCCCCCAGCACCACGGGGAGATGGGAGATTGGCTTTTCACTTCTGCTCTGCCTGTCTGCTTTGTCTGCGGTCGTGTCACAGCCTGGTGCTAACACAGGAATGGCACCCTGATCCTCTCCTGGCATGGAAACAGAACTCGTGTTCCTGTGTTGCTCTTCCTCCCCTTTTCTGCCCTCAGCTCTCCATTTCCTACTGCTCTTTATCCTGAAAACTTGATACCTTGAGGGTATAGGCCATAATGTGTTGTTTTACCTCCTGGAATGTGCTGTCTGGTGTATGTGAGGGTTTCAGTCCAAATGCTGCTATATATTTCTGTGCACTTAATGTAACCCGAAGAAGGGAGAATGAAGCATCAATACCAAAACAGGGGTGGGGAAGGACACTGGCTGACATAGACACTACGGTCTGTGCTTTTCACTTTAGGATGTACAGCCAAGCTGCAGTGATAACCATGACGTGTGGCATGTGTTCAGAGGTGGAAACAATCTCTCTGACTTGCCCCAGTGCTACCTGAAATGCCTCTTGAATTTGACTTCTTTTTTTTTGTCTCCTGTACAGCGGTCAAAGTTCAGAATTGCCAACTTGTAATTGCCTCTCTGCTTCTCCTTTAAACTAGAGAGCAGGAATCCCAACTCATCCTAAGGACAAGGAACTGGGTTTAGAAAGGAAGAAAGGTTTATAAAGTGGGCTTCAGTGGGCTTGTAATCCCTAGGTCCCTCGGGGAGCATCCATCCATCCTGCCTCCTCTGTAAGGCATCTGTGGATACTAGTCAGGAAGAAGAGTTTGAAAGTGGGGCATTTCTTTGCAGAAATATAGGTTTTCTTTCCAATATATTCTGCACTTCAGGAGCTGAGACTTGGTGTGTGGCAGGGAAGACCTGTGAGGACAGTGCTCTGCTAACCAGGCAAAGGCCTTGACACTGTTGTGATATCAGATCTTTGGGTAATGGTTTGTCATCTCTGTCAGAAGGAATGAAATGAGGACCTTTTCCTGCACTTTGACTTGTCAGTCTCTGGTTTTGTAAATCCTGATGTGTGAGTGAAGCTCATCCTCTGAAGACCCTGTACTTAGACTCTGCTTCTTTTCTACACTGGGAACAACCAAGATGGCTCTGGGAAGAGAAGGCACCTTGCTTCAGATTCTGCCCTGCCTTGTACCTTGCAGTCGTGGAAGTGTGACCACTGGCCTGGCAGAAGAAGCTGGATTTGCTCCTGTTTTGCACGTGTTGGAATGACTGCAAGAGATGAGGAAGCCAGATACCAGGTACTGCTGGCCCTCCCATTCAGGCCATTAGTCCAAACTGCTTTTAGCTCCTGTGAGTTTCAGTGTCACAATGTGCTGGCCAAAAACTCTCCAATCAGTTTGATGGCATTGTGACAAACAAAATGTGCTGTACAACTCGATACAGTTGAAATAAAATCTCTATATTAGTGCTGCTGGGTTTGGCCTTTTCTTTCCTGTGTGGGGAGTTCTGCTCACCTGGGGGTTTTCAGGCTGCTGTTACCATATTTTCCCTTGATTAAGGTGTGTTAGGGATTTAGTATCTCTTCTCACAATCAGAATCACAGGTAAGGCACAGAACACCTCAGTCCTCTTCCAGACAAATCTGCAGGATTATCCTTCCCAGGATAACCAGGGCCTTGCAGCCACTCCTGTGAGGACCCAAGGAGAACTTGTTTTCTTTCTAAGGAAGCATTGTTAGGCAGCATTCCCTGCTATGAGGAAAGGCTGAGAGAGTTGGGATTATTCACCTGGAGAAGACTCCAGGGACACCTCAGAGCCCCTTCCAAGGCCTGAAGGGGCTCCAGGAGAGCTGGAGAGGAACTTTGGGCAAAGGTTGGAGGGACAGGGCACAGGGAATGGCTCCCAGTGCCAGAGGGCAGGGTGAGGTGGGATATTGGGCAGGAATTGTTCCCTGGCAGGGTGGGCAGTGCCTGGCACAGGTGCCCAGAGCAGCTGGGGCTGCCCCTGGATCCCTGGCAGTGCCCAAGGCCAGGCTGGACACTGGGGCTGGAGCTCCTGGGACAGGGGAAGGGGTCCCTGCCATGGCTGGGGTGGCACTGGATGAGCTTCAGGGTATGTTCCAACCAAACCATTCTTTGATTCTATGATCCCCTCGCTCCTGACTGACATTTTGGTCGCACCTGTTCCAGGCAGGTGTGTGGGTGGTTCCTCTGCAGGATGGTGGGTGGGAGAGCTGTGCTGTGTCAGCTGCACGGTGCTGCAGGTCAGTCACAGTTTGTGATGGAGCCAGACAATCTCCTGCAAAGCCTGTCCTCAGTTTCAGAGATCCAGGGATATTGAAATTCAGCCTGGTAAACTCCCTCAGTTTGGCTCAGGTGTTCTTGTCACACAGGTGATACCTGAAGGCTTTCCCCGCAGAGCTGTGGGGAGCAGGACAGTGTCACCCTGAAATGTGATCCATTGTTCCTCACACTCACATCAGCTCAGCTCAGGACGCTGCTTTTGCTGCAGATTGTAAAACAGACAAGGAATTTAAATGAGATTCTTTCTAGAAACCAGATAAAACTGAAATTACAGCCCTACCAACACTTGAATACAGATTTGTGATGTGAAATGGAATTGGTGCTACCTGACTGACATGAGAATTATGAAGAGTTTAGAGGAGTAGCCTCTATGGAAAATGCAGTCACTGCCCCAGTGAGGCGAGGGCTGGGCTTTGAGGAATTCCCTGAGGCAGCTGCTGAGCCTCAGAGAGAATCCCTGACTGCTGAGGGATTGAGGATGAGGCTGCATTTCCCCTCAGCAGGGCTCCAGCTCAGCCCAGTCTGACCTGTGGGCAGTCATTAACTGGCCAGGGCCTGACCTGCTGCCCAGCCCAGGTGGGACAGGTTGGTCACACCGGGACTGCCCATGGCAGGACACTGGCTGGAGGGGCTGGACTCAGCTCTGCTGGGTGCTCAGCACAGCAACACTGCTCACTATTAGTCAGGAGCAGCATTTTTACAAGAAAAGGCCATTTTTTATTAACTTCCATCTTTAGCAGTTCCAATGTCACCTGGAGAGGCAGAGGAATGCCGACTGCTGGGACACGGCTGTGACCTGTTGGCTCCTTATCCCCAGCAGGGAAAATACCACAGCAGCATTCCCCCATGCAGTTAGAAGGGAAATCGTTATTTATAAATAATATTTATTGGGTAACAAGCTGCTGGAACACTCTGGCTGGTGTCGTGAGGGGCACTGAACTCTCCTGGTTATTAAGCGTGGAGGGAAGCGTTATCACTACAGGAATATAAATCCATCACTGCCAGCACGTTCAGCCTGAGGTAACTGATATCTGCTGAAATGGGTCTGAGCCCAGCACAAACAGGGACATCAAAGCCTTCCCCATCCACGTACCAACTGCCAGGAATCCCTGGTGAATCAATAACCGGGCTGCATGTGATGTGCCATGCTACCCCAGCAGCCACTGAACAAATAAACACATTTCTGTGGAGTGAGAAGCAGCTCAGGCTGCCCAGGGCTCCTCAGGAGCCTTAATGGGTAATGCTGAAACCGTGGGGATGTGGAGGGAGGAGAGGGAAGTGACCTTGTGAACCCTGGGAGTGCTCAACGTGAGAGACACAGGCAGGAGGAGTTTCTGAGCTTGCTGAGGTGTGCAGGTGTCTGTCCAGTCCATTTTCAGAGACAGTTCACACGTTTCTCTCACTTCAGCAACAAGAAGTTTTCTCTGGGTTTTTCACTGTGAGAGCAGTAAAAGATTCCCACCTGGGTCTCTTAGTCCATAATTCTTTGAAGGATTTAGTTCTGTTTGCTTTTTACTATTGGCAAAATCTTTGCTAGAGGTAGGAAATCAGAGAAAGGCAGTGGAGCTTTATTATCAGAGAAGAATGAAAAATCAGTCCAGGGAGCTGTGTGAGAAATGGTGATTATTGGTGCCCCAACCTCACAAGTCCAGTCGTGCCTTCAGCTGCACCAGTGGCCAGGAGCTCTGTAGCCCATGATCACCTTTCTGGTGAGTGGTGACCTCAGGGCAGTGCTGGAGCTCTGAGTGATACACCCCCACTAAAATAAATCATTATCTTTGAATGCAGGGCTCAAAAGTCACGGGGCCAAAAGGAGACTCTTAAAATAAAAAGCAGCTGAAAACATCTGTTTTAACACAGCGTGAAGAGCAGCACATTTTCCCTTGAGAAAAGCAAAGTAGCTGCATTAGTAATGCACTTGTAAAACTCGTTGTAGGATTCATCTTGCCTAAGATTCATCTGAATGTGTAATAGTCAGTTGGATGTGCCTGGGCTTGCACAGAGATTGCACAGAGAGTCAGTGGAGAGAAACAGGCACCTCCCAGAGCTTGAGTCACTCCAACTTTCTTAGATGGATGCCTTTGGAAGACAATTTCTTTCTGATGAGCCTATTAGTTCATCAAGTGTGCAGAGAGTTGACAGCTGCCAGACCTCTGGGGCTGTGGCAGGAAGGCATTAATCCCACCTGGCTTTTGAAGTGCAGACAACACTGTCTCTCCCATCTTCCCTTCTTGAAGAGACTTTCTTCATTTCAGTGATCATTTCCATCAGTCCTTTAGCTGGTACAGGACCAGAGCTTGCAGGTTTTGTATCCAGACTCATTCCAAGTGTTCATTGATCGTTCAGGAACAGGCACAGCTGCATTCCCTAATTTCCTGCACCGCTTTGAGTTCTGTTGACCCCAGATGAGTAACTACCTCCCCTTCAGAATAACTTTTGAGCCTGACTCTATAAGTTCCCAGTGAAAGGATGGTCTGAAGTTGTTTCCTTGGTATTTCCTGTGCAGCATGTGCTCGAGTGGGATGGGAGATGCTGAAGAGTGTCAGTCCCGTGTACTTTGGCCCAGCTGAGCTGGTGATTACCCCTTTTGGTGCCTATTCCTACCCACAATGCCTGGAAATTATCCAGGCATTTCTTCAATTTCCAGCAGAAACACACATTTGGTGTCTTACACTTATCTCCTATTCCACAAGCACTTTTCCCCTTCAGGTCTTTCCTTTCATTTCTTAGAAGATTGGCTTTTTCTGTAGTATCTGTTCATTTTCCCTTGGAATCATTCCAACAAGCTACAAAAAAGTTCCCCTTTGCCATTGCTCGCTCACTTTGTCTTCACAAGAGCCCTTCAAAGGTTCCTTTTGTTGGTTTCTCAGGTTTGCAAACACACTTTGGAGCTTGCAGTGAGAGATTCACAGATATCATTTAGGGGTTTTGGCAGTATCCAGAATTGTGTTCTGTTCACAGGTCACAGAACGTTCTCAAAGATGCCCAGATTTCATCACAAAGCTTCTCAGAATTAGCTTTTGGGTAATGTGAGTCATTCCCACATCTGCTGCTTTGGAATGATGGCCACCAGCTCTTTCTGTGTTGTTCAGCTCTCAGATTTGCTGCTCCAAACAGCACAAAAATACAGCAACATCCCATCAAAAGGGGCAATAGGCAGAGATATTAAAAACCTTCTGGGTTATTGTGTAAATCCCACGTGAGTGCCTGTCAGAGGCTGTGCTGGTTCTGTGGCTCCCCTGCCACGGCAGCACCTCCCAGGGAGCAGGAGAGAGCTGGGGGCTTCTGGACCTCTGGGATGAAGGCTACAAATTTGGAAATGGATCTGCCTGAGCAAGGGAAGGTGTGAGGGGTCACAAATGTCTCTTTCAAAGAAGGCCTGAACACGAAAGGAGCAGCTCTGCAGTTCAAGTGAGGTTCCAGGGCAGCAGCATTGTGGGTGTCCTCATCAGTGCTTGCCTTGACCAGAATTTATCTTAGCTAACACATCTATGTTTATCTTTGAAGAATGTCCTTGCCTGGACAAAAAGAGATTCTCTGTTATTATGAAAAGACTGGGAAACAGCCCCACTCTTTTTCAGACAGCTTTCCACAGCCCTGAGTTTCACTTGATGAATGAGGAAAACTCCACTGACTTTTGGAATTGGCCCCACCTCCAAGGTGCCTTATTAAAGAGAACTACAGGACCTACTCCAAATGTTTTATATCATTCCAGAAGAAAGTGTTCCCTCCTTGAGGGGCCTGGATTATCAGATATCAGAAGATCTGAAGTAAAAATGCAAGGGCTTCCTTTTCTACTACACATTAATGCTTATCCATTTTTCCCCCTCACAAAGGACAAGCAAAGCAAGTTATGCTTATGTGTGTTGAAAAAGACTTGACCTACCCAAGCTTGATTATCCAGTTTCCTGCCTTGCAAATATGAACCTTTGTCTTTTATTCATTTTTATTTTTTTTTAAATATAAGCTTATCCAAGTTTATCCAACCACATCCAACTTGGCCAGGCTATGGTTAGGGTAATGTGATGGTGTAAGGATGGGAATAGCCAGCAGCCAGTCAGGCCATTGATATTCCAATATTTATTTTTCACCCAGTCCACCTTTGTCCTCTCACTTTCATCATGAGCTTCTTCTTCATTCAGGACTTAAGGACCAGTGATGGGAGTCACAATCACAAAACTTACCTCAGAATAGATGTTTGGGATAGAAAATGACTCCAAAGCTTTTGCTTTAGTCATGACAGTCCCTGAAAAGGGCTGGTTGTCAATGAAATTCCCATCTTTACTTTCACCACCGTGGCTAAATTTGATCATTTTTCCTTTTGAGCTCATCAAACCATCAATCTTTTGAGTCCTGACTTCTCCATCTTTGGTCCTTTTCCATCGTTTCACTGCTGCCCTTGTCCCATTCTTTTCTGTCCTAGCTAGAGGAACTGAAAGGGTTTAAGTTGCACTTTGGGCACTTTTCCCAGTTTGAAATGCGTGTGAGGTCCTGCATTGCATCCCAGAAGATGACCTGTGTGCTTTAAGTATACCTGAGTTTCTCTTCATCATATTGATATGATCTTTGTCAAAAGAAATTACCTTTCCAGTGTCCTTTAACTGTGATTTATCTTCAGAAGGAACAGGACAGACACTGCTTGTTAAAATGGGACTCGTGGTTTCCCTTGGGTAGGACTTGCTGGTTTTGAGACTTCTCCTTCTTTTCTTTCTGCTTTGAAGGTTCTTTGATCTCTATGAATTCTACTAAAGTAAAAAGCCATTGGAGTGACTGTGCCCTGTCAGCTTGTGATCACAGGAGAACATTTCAACAGTTCAGACCTACTCTGTAATGGCAAAAGCATCCTTGGGAGTCATCCCCTGTAGTCGTGGACAAACCCTTGAAGAGGAAGGAAATGTTATTGGCAGATATAAAACTGAGTGCAGGTGAATTCATGAAGTGGAAGCTTTTAAAGTTCTATTAATCTTATACAGAAGAGTATTTTGAGATTTTCCACTGAAAGCAAAGATTTAAATTTGATTTTTAAAGATTCTTAAAGATTTTTAAATTTGAAAATTTCAATAAATGGTCAGGTTGTTTCTAATAAAGAGATATTAAGTTTCTGTTTTCTGTGGAAAATATAATTTAATAACATTTGATTGCTACAAAGCATCCTCACTGATTTCTGTCTGGCGGTGTCTGACAAGTTGCAGTTGCACTTGGTGTAGCTGTGCCTGCTGTTCCTGTCCTCGAGGTTTGTCCCCCTGTGCCCCGGGTGTCCCTGCCCCAAATGCAGGCTCTGGGAGAGGACTCGTCCCTGTGCTGGAGCTGCTGGATCTCGCTCAGCCCCTCCCCAGGTGCTGCTGGCCAGCCCCAAATGGTCTGATGAAAACCATCCCCTGATCCTGCCAGCTCCTGAGCCCCAGATCACAGGATCACGGCACCCCAAATCTCCTTGCTGGCAACTGGAGGATCAGCTGTGTGAGCCCCTGTTTTGGGGAGAGGGGGTTTGGTCTTGAGGCTCAGTGTCCTGGGTAACTGGCGAGAAGGCTGAGGGTGGTCCTGGACATGTCTCAATGCCTGGAGCTTATTCCATGTTAAAGAGCAATTCTGGGACTATCAGCCCTTTTGTTACACAGATTCTCTTCTTTTTCAGAAATACCCTTTCTCTAACTCCTCTTCCCAAACTACCCTGGAGTATTCAGTCACTATATTCACACAGATCTTCAGGAATATTGTTATATCACACACATAATTAATATGTAATTATATTAATATGATGCACGTATTATATATATATATCTGCATGTATTTAATGCTGAGCAGACTCACAGAATCACAGAATTAGTAAGGCTGGAAGGGAAGGCAAAGATCTTGGAGCACAGGAGCACTTTGCTGATAATTTCTTTTGTTGTTGTTTTATATTTAAAGCTGGAAGAATAGCAGGATTCCTGTTCTTTCAACTGCAGGCCTCAGATTCCCAAACTGGAGCTGGATGTTTTAGTCCCTGACAGGAGCACACCCTCCATGTGTGTGCCAGGGGACACACACAAGGCCCAGATTTACTCAGCATTCCCGCTTCTTCCTAGATCTCCATCTGCTGGCAGATGTGCCTTTCAAGGGGGGGTGCTTTGGAAAGGAAGGAACAAGAGAGAGCATGTGAAAATGTGCAGCAGCTGCCAGCTGGGCTCCCTATGTGTATAGTTATATTTATATGTGTGCACAGCTATATTTATATATGTGTATATAGCTATAGTATAAATGTCTAAAGTTATAGGATAATTATATTTTCATATACAGTTATATCGATATATGTGTATAGTTATGGACAGTTATATGTGTGCACAGTTAGAGGTACATACACATATATGTATGTATGTATGTAGTTGTAGGCATATGAATATTTCATAGGTGTATTGATACTTAGATAAGTATGTGGATATTTAAATAGATAACCTGACACTTTATACTGAATCTGCAGTAAGTTTTTTAACAGAAATGGGGGTCGATTTGCATTTTCCCTGGGTTTTAAATTGTAAATGACCGAGTGTTGTAGTTGAAAACATCCTTCGTGTTTCAGCAGTTGCGGCTGTCACGACAAATTCCCTCAGCACAGCGACAAGTTTACAAAAGAGGGGCCGACTCCTCCTTTGCAGCATTTATCCCTTTCCGCGAGTGTCACACCGCCGCTCGCTGTCCGCTTCCCCGGCCCGATCCGCCGCTCCCGGCGGCTTCCCCGGCGCCCTCCGGCATCCCCGCTCGGGCCCGCAGCATCCTGCACCTCCCGGCGGAATTCCAGACCTCTGACATCAGCCCGACCTGGAAGCTGCCCGAGCCCGAGCCCGAGCGCGGGGGCGATGGG